TTACTTTAGTTTTGATGCAAAAACGCATGATCGCACCGGCTCACCTGGTGCGTTCCAGCCTTTGTATCATCTTGGTTTGACTTCCTTCAAATTTGCATTTTTCCAATGAACGAGCATTCACCGGAAAAACGATTGAGCTTTATGCAAAAAACTGATAATCATGCACGCTAAATCCCGTGTGGCTTCAACGCAACACTTTCATCTTAGCCGTCGTCCATTCCACCTGTATGCGGGAAGAGGCCAAAACACTGCCAGTATGTGTCCAAGTGTCAAGCTACAGCGCGGGAACCAGCCCTGCTGTTAGCGTTCTACAAGTTCAACGTAAAATCGCATAATCGCACCGGCAAGGCTGGTTCGTTGCAGCCTGGGTTTTTTTCTTCGGTCCTTAACTGGTATCATTTAGCACAGATTCTAGGTGGCTTGTAATGCAAGGTTGTGCGCGAATTTCATATAGGTGTTACGATGCCATTCGGCTTGGTAATTTCTAAACTGACTTCCAGTTCCTTAGTAGTGCATGCACGACGTCAGCACACTTCAATCATTTTTGGGAGAGGAGAATCACTGACTAAGCCTGCTCATACACAGCACGTAAGAAATATTCTTTTTGAGGACAAAGAAGGAAAACAATGTATTCCCGATGGGCATCGCAGCTTATCATCCAATGGCACAGGTTGGCCCGCAGCACAGCGAATGCTTGGGTCTCAAAATTGACAATCCATGTGTTGAGGCTGATTGCCAAGGAATGTGTATCCTCAGCAAAGATACTGGTGGCTTTGGCGTTGGTTATCGATGTGTCTGTCCCATTGGGCAGGTATTCCTTTTATCATTTACTAATTTCAATTTTCAGCATCTTCCGACTGAAGCTTAATTTCGATGTGTCTGGCCCTTCGCGGAGTTTTAAGCATATCGAGAAGGCGCAGGTTGTTGCGATTCCCTGGATGAAATAAATGATCGCGATTTCTTACTTTGGCAGCGACGTATGTTTATAGGCGCGTATTGGAAGTTCCTGGCCGTGTCGTAGTTATATTGTATTGAGTGTCTTACAACTGTTAGTAGTTCCTTGCCATCCAACTGCGGATCTACAGTTGCTTGCTGGCAAGAGCGCTGGAGTTTATTTTTTAATT